TATATATATATATATATATTTTTTATTTTTTTGTTTGCGCGTCATCGTACAGCATTAACCGAAAGATCATTTTATTGTCGATTTCTATAAAATCACAGTTTAAACTTGTCCGTCTTCATTCCATTTTTCTTCCTTTTTTTCTATTTTTAATGTTTCAGAACCTATAACGTGGGCTTATCCGATTCTCTAGAATGCAATCATAGAAAGTTTGAAATAGTCATGACGCGCCGCCTCGTAACCCGTTGATTTCTTTATTTACAATACTAGCCGAAATTCGGACGTCTCTCTTATAAAAAAGGACTTATATATTAGGGAACAATGTTAGTAATATGCACCGTGTAACTGTGTAATTCAAGTCAATTCATGAAGGAGTCATAGGCATCTCTCTTTGGGCATCTTCAGTGAGATCTTTCTCAAACGCGCTCGTGCCATCAAGTTCAAGAATTTCATTATTTTTCCACTGCTACCGAAGCACCTTCACTTTAATTCCTTAAACAGATTTCATCATAATCTACGACAGTCCGTCGAGATACGCGTAAACTTAATTTTTTAACAGTTTCCCTTGATCGAATTCGAGATTGTCGACTTCGGCGAAACATCCAGAAGAAAGCTGTTTGCAGGCATAAACTTTCTCTTCTTTTAACACGAAGAACAAATTCCATTGTCGTCGAGTCAACTGGAACTTACTGCAATTGGTCTTTACCAAACGGCGCATTTCTTTTCGGGATTCATTTTCGAGCCAAGGGGGCAATTGAAATCCTTGGAGAACTCGTCCATGTTCGAAAGAGGCCCCAGAACACGGAATTTACCGGGACTGTGGAAGCCAGTTGTAATGCGAAGCTTCATTGCTTCCGGCCTGTACTTGCTGCACCAGGTGTTCGCTGCGCTGATCCAGAACAATTGTTCTGGAGTATAAGGAAGGCCTGGTAATTTCGGCTCCACGTGATTTCTCTGCACCCACTCTTGGTACGCCAAGTAGGCTTCCTTTATACCACCGTTGTCGGCGATGTTCTCGCCTTGAGTGTTGATACCGTTTAACTGTAACACGAAATGAAGCGATTTCTCTTTATACGTGTATATGACTGAATATTGACAGGTGCTATTACATTTTAAACGTAAAAAGAAGAATGTACTAATTATACAAAGAAGAAAACCTATTTATGTTTAGTTTTAATAAATCTTAGCGGTCGAAATGACCAATTTTTCAAGATTTAAATAATTTCTCGTAAGATATAAGCTTGTGTTATAAAGTTTCTGTGTTTGTTTGACTTCAATTGCACTGATGGAAATTTTATGCTCTAATCGTCGGTAGTTTCAGTATCAATGTTGTCTATTTCGAAATGAAACTGTTGAGATCACGTACATTGTTAACAAAAAGCTTGCTCTGCGTTAAAATAACTAGTCTATCAAACGAACTTTCATGTTTATAAAAGTAGTTAGATAACGTTTGACGCGCAAGTGATGGTAAGTACCGTGGACGAGTTTGACCTTTTTGAGAAAAAGTTCGTGCCTTCGATAGTCGATTATCATAGGAAGAATATCATCGTCGAGCGTTATTCGCATTGTGGAGGTTCAATAAAGCTTACGTAAAGTACCATGTAGAATAAAGAGATCGACGCTCGTCGATACCCGTAAAATTAGAATCCGTATCGGACAAATGTACGTATCGATTGACGCAAATGACCGTGGATGATTGAGGACGAGGAGGAAACGAGAACGAGAGAGAGAGAGAGAGAGCATGTAATAAATGTCGATCATTACGTTCAAGCCGACATCTTCCACTGTATAATTGCCGTATTGGTGAATGATGCACTCCGCTTTCTCCAGATATTTCTCTTTCGTCTGCGGCGCCCACCAGTCGACTAGATTTCCGTTTTTATTGAACTGTCTGCCCTGATCATCGAAGCCGTGCGTTATTTCGTGGCCAATAACGAAACCAATAGCGCCGTAATTCATGTATCTTGGCCGATCGTTGCTGAAGAAAGCGCCTTGTAAGATGCCGGCGGGGAATTCTGCAAAAGCATTACGTAAGCGTTATCGCCTTCTCTCGTATTAGCCAATGATTACAAAACTATCGTTACAAAACTATCGTCCCGTTGATTTTTATGAAACAATACTCACGTATACTGTTCTCGATGGACGAATAAAACGCGTTGACGATGGCCGGTCTTCCGTGAGTCACCCAATCGGACTTGTTCACGGGTTTCCGCAGTTTGCTGAAGGAATATTCGACCCCGAACAAAGTCAGGTTCAAAATACCTTCCAAGTAATTGTCGGTCGTTAATTCCAGTTTCTCGTAGAATTGCTCGAGTTTCTTGTCGTCCAGTAATTCATCAGGGTAAGCGATGTGGCTGGTCATGCTGGCCGCTTTGTCCAAAGCGCTCTTTCTAGTTTCTTCGTCCATCCAATCAACCTAGAAAAA